GATTGTAACATGGGTAAATCCAGGGTCTGATGCAGGTACAACATGCCTCTCCGGTAGCCGTATACCTTCATCTAATGATTTCCCAGTCTTACCTACATCAAAAGCAGAATGGAGATATAGCATGGGGAGTCTTTATTCTCTTTTAGATTTTAGAACATCTGAGGGATGCCCTAGATAGTCACTTGTTCTGGTCCTATTCTGATCCTATTCTGGTGATAACAGAGACCCTAATGCTAGGTCCGAACTTCCCAGGGTCCTTACATGCACACAGACATGTCCCTCTTTGTACCCTATACTCAATGCCTGTGAGCATGTCTAATATGGTTAGAGTTGTCACCTGATCAAGTACCTGTCGCTTTTCTGACACTGGGATCTTTTAAAATGCCCGAGGGAAGGACTGTTCCTAATGGGTATGAGCTCAGAGCTTGTCACAGTCCACTCAAGGAGGTGCTCAGCTGACCCAGATGAGAAGAAATCACCCCTCTCCAGAGAAATATCTTCTCAAATTACTTTTTGAAAAGTGTTATGACAGGTAGTGCAAGGACACACAGGTTATGCACACGGAGCACAGGAAATAACCATGAAAATCTCTTATGGAATTTGATGTGACGTTGTTTTGTACCTACAGAATCTTCATTGAAGCCATCGGAACCAATAAAATGTGCTTCTGTGTAACACTTACTAAAGAACCAGCAAGCTTGAAGAAGACAGAATGACAGTAAAACAGTAGAGTTCCGAGACCCATGATGGGACAAAAAGCGCCATGGAGCCTAGGCAGGGCCTGAGAGGGGTCTGGGAGAGGCCTGGGAGGGGCCTGAGAAGGGCCTGGGAGGGGCCTGAGTGTTAAATTTCTGAAAACCCTGTGCAGTTGAGCAGCACTAGGTTCATGTGTTAGAAATATTTCCATTCATCCTTTTGTGCTTTTCAGACAAAACATCTCTCCATTATGTAGTACAAATCCAGAAGGTCTGCCTTTTTTCTTTATTTGTCCCAGTTCTTATCAATGCACTGAATTTAATCTATCCAAACATGAATAATCCAGGTCCCATTCAAATTCCAGTGCTTGTGGGGCTGAAAACTGTGGCCTCTGCCTGATCATTCATCCATACCCTCATCTTAGGCCTTGACCTTTCAGGCCCCACACTGTGAGAACTACCAAGCTGCCCTTTTCCTGCTTAGCTATTTGCTCCATCACAGGTCTGGAAATTCTATCTCTACTGTATTATTCTCACCACTTTTAACTCATAAGATGTCTGTGAGACCACCTGATATGAACACCAGTATCCACAGGGGTATGGCCAAGATTCTGCACAAAGGAAAATATTCTTAAGCAAACACTTACACTATGCATCATAGCTTCACACCCTATTGAACAATGAATTATTCTAAGCTTTCTCTGAGCCCAGCTGCTTTCTAACAGAATTTTGGCCCATACCATAACCTGTAAGGTAAGTATCACCCACTGATCCCAAATTATAAATAAAGAAATGGAAATAAAATTGCTTCAGTAATAGCCAGGTGCAGTAGCACATGCCAGTCTGCTCTACAGAGCAAGTTCAGGACAGCCAAGTCTACACAGAGAAACCCTGTCTTCAAAAACAAAATAAAAATTGGCTGAGAACTGATAGACTAAGATCAGAAAGGAGAGGAGAACCTCCCCTATCAGTGGACTTGGGGAGTGGCATGCATGCAGAAAGGGGAGGGAGGTTGGGATCGGGAGGGGAGGAGGGAGGGGCTTATGGGGGGATACAAAATGAATAAAGTGTAATTAATAAAAAATTAAAACAAACAAACAAAATAAAATAAACAAAATAGGAAAGATTTTGCTTAAATAACTTAGGAGTTCACATGTCTTGGAGGTGGGGAAGAAAGATTGGAATATGGGCATCTCAGTGCCCGTGACACTCTGTTCTACTGAATCCTGCTTCCCTAGACTCAGTAAGCTTTGTCTATGACCACATTAAAGACAGTTAGAACAAAAGAACAAATTAAATTAAACTACATTGACAAGTCAAATCAATTAATGACTGCTGAAGATATCATTGTCCCTACTTTGACATTCCTGGATTAATTTTTTTTAGTTCCCTCATACTTTGTTTTCAAAGTACTTATTATATTTACTATTTTTTTATGCAGAAATAACTTCAAGTGATGGAAAGTATGTTTAGATGATTGTCTGTAATCATGGTTGTAAGTGACCTCTCAACATAGGGATTTAAAGGGGTGTATTACAAGAAGGAATGGGGTATATTTCTTTCCAGGTAAAAATAGACAGCCATGAGAAAACCCCTTTACCAGTTTCACACATAGCCAGGAAGCAATGCAGAATCCTCTTTATTTTATCTCCTAGCGATGAAACTACCATGTAAAATAGTTTGATATTCCGACTAGATGCAGAACTTAGCTACCCTTTAAGCAATGAGCTAAGGGATCAGACCTATAGGTGAAAAAGTCTTGAGTGTCCCATCCCAGCTGAGCCTCAGATAACACTAGGGCATCTTTAAAGCTGGAAAGCTCAGCCCTCTTGAAAAATCAAGCAGCGTAGGCCCCTGTTTTATGCACCAAATTGTAAAATGATTTAAAATGTAGGCATTCAGAGGATGTGTTATAACTAGAAAATTCACCTTGAAGGAGAAATAAATACACACTGTATTTCTTCACCCATGAAACCATCTGATTATAAGGTATTGCTAGCATACTTGGCAGTCTGCACTACATGGCACTTGCATGCAGGACTCAAGGGCATGAGAACTGTGTCACAGTCATCACCCTGACAAACAAACCAGAAAGGAAAAAGAGCTTGAACCTAAAATTGCATTTCTTGTTGGCTTCCTTTGTCATTGCAGCACCATCTCAATCAGTTCTTTCTCTGTGGACTCCAAATGCTCCTGCATGCCCAGCAGCCCCTGTGCTCACTGCTGAGACCACCTGCTCCAGAGAACGTGCATCAATGACAGGAGCTGAGTTCAGCTGCCAAGAATCTCAGAGAGGTAATAGACCAAGTCCACACTGCTCTTCAAATAACTGTCACCATTGACTTTCACACCCACCTCTCCCCGAGAATTTCGCTCTGACTCTAAGAATGAGACCTTGGCTCTTCACACTGACTTACGACCACTCATAGAGCAGACACTTGGACCTTTATTTTATGGCAGCTCCCATCACAACACACTCGTCGTTATCATCTCTACAAAACATGTTTGCTGTATATCATCGCCACAAAAAGAGAAAGATGCCATGGAGGTGAATTTCTGTCTTCCTGTCTCAAGTGAAGAAATAAAGTCAAAGTGTTGATCATTTACCTTGGATCGTACAGTCAGTTTACCCAAAGCAGGGGCCAAGGATATTGCTGCCTTAGTGGATGCCATGGACCTTTAAGGTAGGGAAGGAAGGAACATGGAACACGGTACAGGATAGGAAGGAGGGAAATGGTTCCTAAATTACATGGAATCTTTATTGGGCAAAGTATAGATTGTGGGAGAGTAGGAAGCCTCCTTTCCTCATCGAAGATGCGCAATCTACTCCCAACAGAGGGGACTGGACAAGAGGAACATCTTGAGAACACGGTGACTTACCTGATAGCTAACACCTGCTCAGCTCAGACTTTCCGAAGAGGCAGTGAGCCAGCTGAATCTTTCTCTTTAGGCCATGAGTTAGAGGAACAGTCTCAAGCCTTGACTCTGTGTCTATACTGCTCGCTTGCGTGGCCTCAATGGCATGTGGCTTGACTCACCATTTTGCTGTCACCCATTCCAAATGAGTTTGATGAAGTGTGACTAGGACCAACACTCTTCTACATCTTGTTTCTGACCATCAGGGTCACTCTTAGCTAATGGTGAACAGGTGCTCCATCGTTTTCCTTTCCAACCCCCTCCTTTCTCTTCCTCTGGCCCGAAAGCAGGATCATTTCTTTTGAGACTTGCTAGAATGTGTGGTTCTGCCAGGTTTGCTCCCAGACTGCCCTGTACTTCTGCTAGCTAGTCTTTCACATGTATTTCCTGTTTGTGAGATTCCGTAGTTCTCCCTCAGCTCTAACAGACTGGCTCCTTAAAGCCTGGGGTTTCCGCTTAGCTCTCCAGCATCAAAATTAGGACCTGGGCTTTGCTTGGTACTCCTTTTACACTGGATGTGAAGGGTTCTTTTACAGGCCTGAGCATGGCAAATGTGACACTGAAGGGTTTTTCCCTATTCCCCTTTTCTTTCTCCCTTGCTAAAAACCATTAGATTGCATTGCTAAAGCTACCCCCCAAGGTCCATTCTCTTATTTGGCCACTGACTCATTCCTGAAACAGAACACCAAGGTCTAACAATCAAAAGTCAATATTTGGCTCTATTGGCTAACCAGACCAATCAAGACTCACCAACTCAGCTTACCACAGACTCCTCCTTTATTTCTGTAAAAATTCACTCCTGCAAAAACCGCTACTGCTGCTGCTGCTGCTGCTGCTACTGCTGCTGCTGCTGCTGCTGCCTGTTGCTGATGGCTGCTTGCTGTCTGCCTCTACCCAATCCAGAGGCAGCCTCCCCATCTCTAATTGCACCTTCAAGGTAATAAATCTCCTTTGTGTATTTAACGTCTGGATACATCCCATACAGACTCTGAGGGGCCACCATCCTTTACAGAGTGATGACATTAAGTTACACTATTGTGCGTAGAAAGTGCCAGCACAACTGCTTACTTAGTTGGTCCCCTAACGCCAAGCCTTCTCCTTGCCTATCTTCTGGATTCTGTTTCTCATCCATTTCATCCAGGGTGTGACTTCAGCCAACCTGCTACAGTTAGTTTCCCCCAGCTACTAGCCACTCCTGAGAGAGCTTTCTTCAGTCCAGTGTCCTTAACAACAAGGTTGACACTGGGCTACTTCCAATAAAGAGTCGGCCTTTCCAGCACTCACTGGTCCAAGGGTTGACAGTGAGACCTGCACTGTATTCTGCTAGACCATAACACACAAAGACACATGATGGGTAACCCTGAGGCGGGAGCTCTGCTCTCTACTCACCTGACTGCCCAATGATGGAAGCACTCAGTCTGTGGGGAATTCTTGATGACACTTTCAGGGCCACTCGGATCTGATAATACCTAAGGAAAGAACAGAAACCAGGCCATGAGGATATGACTTCTTAATATGACTTCTAAAACTATCAAGATTTAATTATGGAAAGCCATAAGAGACCACTGAAGGTCCTAGATGACCATGCAATTCTCTGAAACCAAAAAAGACTGCATTTTATTCGAGCAGTTGAAGGATAAGGGACAAGGCACAGAGGCAGGGAATTGCATCATTTGAGATCACATAAGACTGAGCAATTTTGGAGTTGATGCCAATACAGAAAAGGAATGAATGGGTCATGTGACAATCAAATGTAAACACATTTTTTGGTTGCTTTTCATTTGCTTGTTTAGTTTAGAGAAAACAACTGTCACAGAAAGATAACACAAGGTAGAACTGAAAATCCATATACGGAATGACTTGCTGATTTGTAAAATGTGTACATGTGTGTGCTTATGTTTGCACACCCCTCTTTCACATACCTCCTTGAAGCTGGGTTTTCATTTCTGTGTATACTGCTAAGCACATTTCCCAGTGTATTTGTCTTACCGCATTTTTGTTCCATCATGACCACATTTGGTACTCCTATGCAGACTACCAAGCTCTCAGTAACCTCCCCTGTGTGTCCCAGCCCCCACTTAGCTATCATTAGAGAAGCTTCCTCCTGCAGCAGATGGGAACAAATACAGAGACCCACAGCCAGACAATATGCATAGAGTGAGAGATCTCAGAACACTCAGCCCTAAATGGAGTGTCTCCATCAAAGCCTCCCCTCGGTGCTCAGGGAAACCCAACAAAGAAGAAGCATGAGATAGAAACAGCTTAAGGGCCAGAGGAAATGGATATCACCAAGGAAACAAGGCCTTTTGCATACAGCTCGACCATTGCGCATATGAACTCCCAGAGGCTGATGCAGCACGCACAGGGTCTGCACCAGATGGGGTCCTAGACCTGAAAGGAGAAGTGGACACAGGCTCCCATTCCTCATACAGAAGCCATTTTGTTAGCTACATGTAAATGAAAAATTAGTTTTATCCAAGATAATTTCACTGGCAGAAAAAACTAATCTTAACCATAGGGTGAATGCCCAGCAGAAGTTGGCTAACAGAAAAAGAACTCAGTGGCAGCTTTTGAGGTTCTTGATCTAATAATGTCCTGTGAGAGCTTTGTTTTTAATTTTAATTTTTCCATTTTACTTAGGTATTTATAATGGCTTCAAATTTTCCAGTTTTGTGTTTTTATGGGATTCACAAAGAAACAAGTGGGTCTCTGCAGCTATATCTGTTTCTTGTGACATTTGGGGAGGGGGTTCTTTTATTTCTGTTTGTTTGTCCTATTCAGGTTTTTTTATTTGATTGTTTTATCCTGTTATGTTTTATTATTATCGCTTTGAAACCTATTTGTTTTCTAATGAGAGACAGCAAGGGGATGGACCCGGATAGGAGGAAGGCTGAGGAAGAGCTAGGAGGAGCAGAGGTAGGGAAAAGCATGAACAGAATATATTGTATGAAAAAAAAAAAAAACCTACTTTCAATTTAAAATAATGTGCCAGCCTATACTGTATTTAGAACAGCTTTTCAATATGCTCCAAATACAAGACAAATTCTTAGACCCTGAATCCAAAGCAGGGCCTATAAAAGCAAAGAGGATGACTCCGATTTCATTAAAATGAAACACTTCTGTCCTGTGACACATGCAGCTGGGGATCCCAGTTGAAGCTGCAGTGAAGGAGAAGACATTCGCAAATCTCACGTAGACTGTATTCATTACTTCTCAATTCCATCCTTGTAGGCTCACCTACTTGCTAACTAATTTGTTAACCTCAGATTCAAAGCTTGCATCTCCCTTGTGCTTACTCACAGACACGAATTTGGCTGCAATCAATAGCCACATCTGACATTCGGACTGCAGGGGAGAGTGAGGGAACAATTCTGCAAACACACTTGCATCTGGCAATATTGTGCTTTGGGTTTATTTCTTTCCCATTAAGCATGCCCACCCCAGGGTGGTGGTGTGTGGCTGATCAGTGCCCCAAATTACTAAGAGGAAGTGTATGGGCAGCTCTAGGAACTTGTGCCTCTACCTTCCCAGGTCTGAGGTTAACATCACCACACTTGGTTTTTAGTGTTGGTTCTTGAGATCAAACGTTTGCCTCACTGAGCCATCTAGCTAGCCCAAGGTTAGGTATTGAACTGTTGAAGGAAGTGTAAGGAGAGGCTCATGGGTATCATTTCCCCTAGGAAGGATGACTCAGTATTCCCCAATTTGTCATAACTTTGTAGAAGGCACCTACACCAACTTTTACCTTTACAAACTGACAAAGGTTTATTACCTATGCTAAAATATTCTCCTAATTCAAAAGTTAAAAAAAACACAGAATTTGAAAAAAATATATAAATCAATATTTCACCAAAGGAAGTTGGCACATTCTGTAAAAAATAAAAACCTGGAAATAAGCTTCAGCTTCCACTCAGTCTTACTCAAAACAATATGTAAATTTAAAAAAAAAGTCAGAAAAGAACTGAATACTTTTTATACTCAGATAAATAAAAAAATAGACATAAAATATACAACTCTCAGACATACTAAAGAGTTAAGATATTGGTCAGGTAGCTGCAGACATCAGATTTCCTGTTTTCAATGACATCAAACATTTATAGTAATCAAAACTGAATAGTACTAACATAAAATAGTCATTGACCAGCAGAATATATTCAAGAGGAACAAACAAGAATATAGAGTGAGCTCAGCCCATTCTTGAAAAAACATGAAGAATTCACAGAAAAAAAAAGGGAGAAAGATATCAGTAAATAATATGGGAAGATTGTAGATCCATAAAGGAAATAATGAAATAAGAAACCCATTCCACACCGTTCACAAAAGGAACTCAGGATATAGTAAAGAAGTAAACACAATACCTCAAAATTAGGAAACTCCAAATCAGTACAAATGTGGTATTGGCAATGACTGGCTTTTACTCCGCCATCAAAGTCACAGGCAATACACAAACAAGTGGAAACATACCAGATAAAAAATGCTGCTGCACAGCAGACGAAATCATAAACAGAATACAGAGCATCCTTCATATGAAAGAAAATATTTAAAAATCATATGTCTTCTGTGTCGGGTAATTGGTGCATAAACATAATATGTAAAGAGCTTATACAAATCAACAACAATAACACAACAACAAAACTCTCCAATTAAATGTGGATAAAGTACAGTGATTCGTATATATGCTAAAACCCCTTATTGTGTTTACTTAGTGAAAATGTAAGAATTAAGAAACACTAAAAACTGTAGGCAAAGGAGAGGAAGAAACATATTCCCAAAGACAACAACAAAAAAACAAGTTTTCACAAGGTAGAAATTATCATAGAAATGAAACCACAGTAAGATGGTCACATGTCAAGCTGCCTATTGCAAGAGGCAAATAGCTTTAAATGAGGTTTGAAAAAGGAACCCTTGTGTGCTCTTTGTGGGAAGTTAAATTGTAACAGCCATTATATAAAGCAAAGAGAGTGGTCAAAACAGTAAAAATACAAGTTGTTTTGGGGTCGTACATATTGATTCATTCAATCGGTTGGATGTGTTTATTCCTGCTTGGACTTGAAGTGCCAGAGTGGATTGATACCCCTTGGGGGCCTGCCTTTCTCTGAGGAAAGGGGAAATGAGGGAAGGAGGCCTTGAGAGTAGGACTGGGAGGGGAGAAGGAAGGAGGCTGGGAACAGGCTATAAAGTGATCAAATAAATACATACATACATACATACATACATACATACATACATACATACATATAGAGGAAAAGAATATCATCAAATACAATAAAACAAAAGAGAGATCATGATTCGTGAATTAGCTAGAAAAACAACTAAGGAGGACTCCAGACATTAACTTTGGCCCTACATATGCAAGCAAACCTATACATGTGAGTCAATACACACTCAAACATGTACACACGCGTATACACACACACACACACACACACACTCACATATGGGTGAGTGTACATGTGTAGAAAAAGAAACTACCCTGTTCAGTATGACAGCCACAATGACTGCGCATTTCTGACATCACAGAAAGCTACATCAACTGCAGTAAAGTCAGGACCCACAGGTGCCAGGTACTTGACTCAGACAAACTTAGGAAGTACTGAGTCCTCTGACTTTATTTTTTTTTTCACTTTTGACAAAAATGGTCGTAGAAACACCGTACCTCCATGTCATCTGTCTAAGTCCTGTTGAAATAGAATGCTGACTGTTGTCTATGAGCAGGTGTGGTTTCATGGGACATTTTAGAGGGGACTGGGGAGCCAGAAGTAGTGGTAGGCTGACTGTACATCCCAGAACTAGGAAGGATGAGACAGGAGGATTGCGAACTTTGAGGCTAGCCTAGGCCTTGTCCTTTTTTGAATTCCAAATAATTATTGCTTAGAATATATTTATTCCTTGAGTATTAAAATAAACTAGAACATTTATGCCAGTGTTTGTTCATTTAAAACAAATTCAATGCCTTTAGAATTTTTTTCTTTTTTTTAATGTATTTTTCACTTATTACAATTTATTCACTTTGTAGCCCCATCCTCATCCCCTCCCAATCCCACCCTCCCTCCCTCCCAATCCCACCCTCCCTCCCTCCCCATTCTCCTGCCATGCCCCTTCCTCAATCCACTGATAATGGAGGTCCTTCTCCCCTTCCATCTGACTCTAGCTATCAGGTTTCATCAGGACTCTTTCAGTCTTCCTCTGTGGCCTGGTAGAGCTGCTCCCACCTCAGGTGGAGGTGATCAAAGAGTCAGCCACTGAGTTCATGTCAGAGACAGCCCCTGTTCCCCTTACTAGGATGCCTATTTGGAGACTGAGCTGCCACGGGCTACCTCTGTGCAGGGGTTCTAGGTTATCTCCATGCATGGTCCTTGCTTGGAGTATCAGTCTCAGAAACAACCCCTAGGCCTAGCCCTTATCTTAAGAAACCAATAGCAACAAAAATAAAAGCAGGTGATTTGAGCAAAAATGCTCAGTTCTCATG